ATGCCCCCATCTCATCCAGAGCATCACATTTAGCTTAATTGCCCTAAGCCTTCTCAGACTTCCCTTGTTTTTTGATGACTAACAGTTTCCAGGAGAAATGCCATGTATTATGTAGAATGTTTCTTTTTTGGGATTTGTCTGATGTTTCCACCATCATTTGAATAGGGTTAAGGGCCTTTGAAAGGAAGGCCAAAAGGCAGAATATTTACACAAAGGAGGTATCTTTGACTCACAGCAGATTTCTCAATAGCTTCACTGGAAGCCAGAAGATAGGGACAGAAGATCCTCAAAATGCTAAGGAAAAGAACAGCTGCCTAGAAGTCCCACTAAGGTATATGATAAAAACATTTCTCATAAAGGAAAGCAGAGAATGTACATGAGGGGGGGTGCCCTCCCTCATTAAGGTAAATTCTAAATGATGTAATTCAGAGAGAGGAAAATAATTCCAGAAGAAAACTCTGAGATGCAAGAAAAAGCAAAGGAGAAAAAAAATGGTTATAAGAGTAGGTAGCTCTGAACAAACAGAAACCACACAATAGTGATGCTATCTAATTATTTGGAATTAAGAAAAAAGAAAAAAGGAGCAGCAAAATACTACTGGAAAAACAGAGCAAATAATCTGGGAGAGCATAATTGAAGAAAATAGACTGAAGTTAAGATAATTAGAGAATATAGCATACAAATAGGAGACATGTCCACTTATATTAAGGTTTTGAAAAGGCAAAACTAAGCGATAGTCACATGTATGTTAACAGTATAATAAAGTAAAGGAAATGATTATCACAAAATTCACACAGATAATTTCTGGATGTAGGGAAGAGGACTGATCAGGCCAGAAGAACTCAGAAGAATCGATCATGTTCTATTCTTAATTTGTAAAATAATTTTTTAATTGAGCTAATGTTGCTTACAAAGCTGCACATGCTTTAGGGGTATAGGTTCACGCCTATGTAAGTTACCTCTTCAGTGTAAGCCGCTACATCATGTCCACCACCAAAGTAGCAGTAACTCTCCACTACAGCCCATTGGGCAGTAACTCTCCACTACAGCCCATTGGGCCCCTTTTCTGCTTGCTCCCCTTTCCCAGACCACCCCCAGCATCAGTTGTGCAGTCAGATTCCTGCCCTGGGGGATTTTAGGGACACCGATGATGGCAAACAAACATATGACAAATGAAGTATAAATTGAGATGAGTACTCTGAAAAAAGTGAATAGGATGGTTGTGGGAGAATTAGTAGACTCTCTCAGCTTTCATTTGAACAGAATTTAATCCTAGAACCCCAGCACCGAGACAGCAAGATTAAAAAGTATAGGTGAATTCTGCTTTCTGCCTTGACTTGGGTGGTGGCAAGTGACCTGAATGGAGAGATGAGGTTCTTGTTACTAGAGCCATCCAAGCACAGGGCACAGGGCTCCGATTGGGGTGCTATAAAGAGGCATCTTGCTTGGGGTAGGCTGGGGGACTCGAGCTAGGTGACATCATCCTAAACACCAAGATTTTAGGATGGCAACATCCCTTTATTCTAATTTCCACAAACCTACAATTTCTCTAACATTTTGAGATTCTTATTTTAACTTAGATCTTAGGGCAGCCCAGTAGAAAGACCAAAACTCTGGAATCAGAAATAATCTAGCTCTTATTTGGTTTCTGCCATTTATTAGCTGAATAACCTTAAACACATCACTTACCTCTCTGAGCCTTAATTTCCTCCTCTGCTAAATGGAGATAATGCCTGGCTGACAAGAGTAGATTAAAAGGTGACATAGGAGTAAAGCACCTGGCTTGGTTTCCCTCCCACAGGGTACTGCGCAGTCTTGGATTTTGGAAGACACACACCTTCCACCAAGCCTTTCCCAGGTGGGGTGCGGTATGGTGAGATGTCTGGAATTATCATTTCATGTCTTAGAGCCTCAATTCTTTATCTGCCTAATGGGGTTAAATATATGACCTACTTCCTAGGATTGTCTTGAGGGTTAAGTGAGATGACCTATGTTAATTGTCATTGGTGCTGCTGTCGAGGGGTATGAGAGGCTGCACTGTGGACTGTGCAGGGAGGCCTCCCTGTCTGTGGAGGGCCCCAGCTTCTTGGGCCAAGGGCACAGGCCTTCAGGACCATCAGTGAGAAGTTAAGACCCTTTTCTCCATTATCCCTCCTCCCCCATCTTCTCCCTAAGAAGTGAACGGTTTTTCTCTCAGAGCTCTGCCCAGGGGTTTGGTGGGAGCTAGGCTTGTGTGTGTGTGTGTGTGTGTGTGTGTGTGTGTAAGGCTCATTTCTGAGCCTTAGCAGAGAGAGAGCTCTCTCAGTGGAGGGGTCAGAGCATTCTTCCAGCAGCAGGGTTTCTGGGATGCTTGGCAGGGGCATAGCTGATTGGCACTGTCCATACTCTGAGATCATGGGCACACACACACACACACCTCACACATGTACATACTACACACACATGCATGCACACACACACACCCATCATTGCTTTCCCAGACCCCTCGCTTCCTTCTAAGCAGGGCCTCCGCTTATTCTGCATGCATCATTCTCCTTCCTCCCTTCCCATTATAACTACAGAAAACAGGCCCCCAGGGGAGCTCTGAACTCCGTATCAGGGCTCTTTTTCACCAAGTTTGTCTGGGGTTCATTGAGTCTTTCTTAAGCAGGGCAGTACGTGGGGGGACTTTCAAGGCTCTGGCTCTAGGCCTGGTCCTGGGAAAGGAATCTCGCCTCCCCCACTCTGTCTCTTGCCTCCTGCTGACCTCTGGTCCCCTCTGGTTTCTACCATCAGAGGGAAGCCTCTAAACGTCAAGTAAATTGTGGTTCTCATTTATCACAAATGCTTACCCCCGAATTTTCTGGTTGCTCTACAGTCCTTAAGCACAGCCATACTTACAAAATATCAATGATATATATAAAAATGGTAGATTTCCTTCCCCTCTATGGTCTCTTACTTCCTCTCTCTGTCTGTCTGTCTGTCTCTTCCATGTGCTTACCATTTATATGTTATCCCGAAGTTATTTTGTTTGTGTCTCTCTATTTTAATCAAATTAAAGCTATTAAATAGATGCATTTTCCAAGATAATCACAACTCTTATTTGTTGAATGCTTAATGTGCACATGAATTATGCTAAGCAGTTTATCAACATTATTTTACTTATTCTCCACAATAATCCTGCAGATATTAATTTTAATTTTCCAGTTTTTAGATTAAGTTTTGGAATTAAAGGAACCACTTGGCACCAGAGAGATAGTGTCATGGTGAGAATTTGAACACAGAAAATAAAAATTCAAAGCCTCTGCTCTTTTCCATCTTGGGATCCTCCCTCCCAGAGACTATATGTTCTATAAAGCAAAACTCTGAGGGTTACTGTAGGTCCTTACACCTAGCACTGTGTCTGGAACACAGAAGATGATCAATAAATATTATTGGATGAATGAAGATGAATGAATTCCTTTGCAGAGGGCTTTGCAGAGGGCTTTTTTTAAAGATTTATTTTATTTATGCATAAAGAACTGGGGTGCAGGCCAGAGGTGCAGGGGTGGTGAGAGGATTCACCAAAGACAGGATGGGGAGCAGAACAGGCAGATCCACTGAAATACACTGCTGAGGGGAGCAGTGGGCAAGATAGGAGAGGTCTGCTACACCATGTGGGTCAGCTCCCTGGCTGGGGATTGAACTCATGCTGCAGTGGCTATTGATAGCTCCATAGTGCTGCACTTTAACCCGTGTGTGCCACCAGGGAGGGCCCTATGGGGGTTATGGTTATCTTAACAAACTACTTCAGGAAGCTACTGTAAAGATGAGATACCACATGGAAAATGCTCATATTGTTTGCATAGGGACTTACAGTTAACAATGCATTTTTTTTTATTTATTAAATTAAAAAAAAAGATTTATTTATGCCTAAAGACCAGAGGTGCAGGGGTGGTGAGAGGGTCCACCAGAGACAGAGTGAGGAGCAGAACAGGCAGATCTACAAAATACACTGCTGAGGGGAGCAGAGGGCGAGACAGGAGAGGTCTCCCGAGCTATGTGGATCACCTCCTGGGCGAGGATCGAACTCATTGCAGCCGCCAGCTTCGTAGTGGTGCACTTTAACCTGCTGTGCCACCAGGGAGGGCCCAAACAATGCCACCAGGGAGGGCCCAAACAAATTCTGGCACAGATCCTGTGAGGTAGGGATTATTATGATTTCCATTTCACAGATTAGGAAACTGAAGCCTAAAGAAGTAAAGTAATGGTATCAAGATCGATCTGGAGCTAATAGTGTCCGGGCTGGTGTCATAAATCAGGTTTCCAGATGCCCACACCCAGGGCCCTAACTTCCAGCTCTCTTCTCTCATGCTCATAGTCCTGGGTTGTTGTTCTCCGGCCAGGTCTCCCTGTGTGGGACGACAGGTTTTTCTATTAGATGGATCGCAAGAGAGGTATAACCTCTCCAACACCCAATTTGTATGGGTGGAAGGTGTCTACCTTCACCCTAAGCCTTGGGAGCCACGCCCATACTGAGACAGGCTTACAGACCAAAGCTCTCCCTTTCCAGAAACCAGCTCCTTTCAAAGCTCCTTCACTAGCAACCCCACCCTTGAAGGCCCCCGGGGCTCGGTGTCTACCTCCCAACCCCAAGACAAGTCCTTGGAGCCCAGGGCTTCGTCGGCTGTAGCCCTTCTCGCCTCCCCAAACCTCGAATCGAGATGCTTGGTTCTATTTCATTTTCTTGTGCTCTAGCGTCGGCGACCTATGGTCCTGGGGCTCGAGGGCCTTACAGCGCACGTCCTCAGTCCCTCCGTCCCCGGGGCCCGGGGTCCGGCCGGGTTCCCCACGGCCCCGCCCAGCGCGCCCCACACCGGCTGGTACTACTTCGTGGCCCCGCCCCGACGCCCTTGACTCCGCCCCCAAGGGTCCCCCTGGGCGCCTGGGCTCGGCGCCCAGCCGCGACTCCCGCTGGCTGGCCGGCGGCCCGGCGGCTCGCTCGCAGGCACACCCCTGGGAAGCCCCGCCTCTCGGAGCTCCGCCCCCCGCGGCCCGGAGTAGGTGGCGGCTGGCCCAGCCGGGCCCCGCCGCCCTCCGCCCTGGGCGCTCGCTCCGACAGTGCCCAGCACCGCGGGGCAGGGTGAGCGCGGCGGCCCGGGGCTCGGAGGCGAAGATGGCGTCAGGCAGGCGTGCCCCGCGCACCGGGCTGCTAGAACTGCGCGCCGGCGCCGGGGCCAGCGGGGAACGCTGGCAGCGAGTGCTGCTCAGTCTGGCGGAGGACGCGCTGACCGTGAGCCCCGCAGACGGCGAGCCTGGCCCCGAGCCCGGCGCCCCGGGGGACCCGGAGTCCGCCCAGCTCAACGGCGCCGCGGAGCCGGGCGCGGCGCCCCCGCAACTGCCCGAGGCGCTGCTACTCCAGCGGCGCCGCGTGACCGTGCGCAAGGCAGACGCGGGCGGTCTGGGCATCAGCATCAAAGGTGGGCGCCGGGGCACCGAGGCCGCGGGGTCGTGGTGTCTGCGGGGCGCCGAAGGTGCAGGGGTCGTGGGGGCATGGAGTTGGAGGACTTGTGTCTGGGGTTAAGGAGGCTGAGCGGACCCCAAGGTCGGAGGGGATTTCTTTGGAAGGCGCCGGCGAGGAGGGGGCTGGGCATACCAAGGACTGGTGGTGGGGAGTTCTGTTTGGAAGCTCAGAGGTGTCAGAGGGACTGCATGGACATCAAGAACAAGAGAGGCCCCAAGAGAGCACAGGATAGAGAGGGGGTTGAGGCCTGGGACATTACTTGAGCAGAGAAGGGAAGTCCCAGCCTCAACGAAGATGTGTGTTTTTTGGGGGGCAGGGGGTAGAGATAGAGGAAGGGGTGAATTCTGGACTTAGGAGCACGGTGTGTGCACGGGGGTGGGGGGAGAATGAAGGGGGTCACAGATGTGGGTAGCTAAGCTCACAGACAGGGTCCAGAAAAACCTAGATATCTGATAGCCCAGTCTGTAACTAGGCAGAGAGCCCTGACAGCTGGATTTGGGTTGCTTCATAATGGCCATCTCCACCTTACACAGAATTGAGGGGGTGGACGTAGAGTTCTCTGAGAGCTCTCAGCCTCCAATACTAACAGATTTCTTTTGGATGCATCCACAATATGTTTGAATCCAGGATCAACTGTGTGAACTTAGAAAGTTACTTCCTATGTCTGAACCTGTTTCCTCGGTTATATAATAAGGCTCATGATAGAGTCGTGACATTTCTATGAAAACAAGAGTCTAAAGTACTCACCTTGCCAGCACGTAGTAGGTACCTGGCTTATTGATATTAGATGAGAGAAAAAAATGGAGGCAGGAGAGACTGCAAGGCAACCTACTGTACCTAAAAATCTCCATCCACACCCAGCTGCTGAATTCATCACTCCTACCCTTCTTAAGAGCTGAGCCCCCAGCAGAGTGCTACCTGTCTTGGGAAAGGAATCTGTCTTGAATCACCCTGGATGCACATTGTTCCCGCACCCTGGTATTGGCTTTGTTCACTGGTGCTTCCAGACCCAATAGTCTGGGTGAGGGCATGAGAATGGTGGTTGTGTCAAAGCAAGTCCCCAGGCAGCCAACCAAGTGGGTCTAAGGGGGAGAAATGGGGAAGTCAAGGAGTGAGCACCCAGCCTTGTCCCCTAGGGCAACAGAGCAGAAGTCACTCCATGTGTCGAAGAGGGATGGAACTTAGTTGGTGTAGAGTTCCACTTTGCAGGTGGACAAACTGAGACAGGAGCAGACTGCATTAGTTATTCCCTGACTCCTTACTTCCAGCTGGAGGTGAAGGTGCTTTTTTAGGAGCCCTCAGGAGGAATTCAGCCCCATTCAGTTCTCCATGAATCTAGACTAGATTCCTGTTGCGATGGTGACTTTCCAGTCCAGCCCAGTCCAAGGCAGCCTGGAATGATCATAGCTTCTACCTGAACTGAAGTTGCTAGTTTCTGGTGAAAGAGTATAGATAAAATAGAAACCCCTTCCTTTCCTAGGCCCCAAGCTCAATACAGCACAGTGAGCAAACAGCTGGACCTGTGTGGGGTCTAACTTCTACTTCTGCCACCATTTTGTTGTGTGACCTTGGAATTACGACCCCTCCGCTGGGCAGCTATATCCTCATCTTCAGTGCTCTGGGCATGGACCTGTAGTGTGATATCTGAAGGCCAGGCAGTTTACTGTAGGATTTAGAGTATTGGTTCTGGAATGGGGAGACCGAGGTTCAAGCACTGGCTTTGCCATTAGCTAACTGAATGACCTTGGGGAAGGGGATTTCTCTCCCCACTTTGATTTTCTAGAAACTGAGTATGCCTGTGTGATTGGGGTGTTGTGAAGATGCAGTGAGACAACATTGAAACCATTTAGTGTAGTGCTTTTTACATGGTATGTGGAACTAATGCGAACTTTTCTTAGTTTCTTATTTCAAAAGGACTTTCAAGAATTTAGCAATAAAGCAATTCACTCAAAGTATTAGCTTTTTTTTTTTTTTTTTTTAAGTCAGAGATGCAGCTCCGATAGGCTTTTGACATCTAGACCATTCAGCCCTTGTTTTCTAGCCTGGTCCTTGACCATAAAACTTTCCAGTTGCTAAAGAGATCCTTTGGGGGCATAGTTGACTTCTATTTTTATTCCAGATTAGAAGATATCAATGAATCGGTTCCCCCATGACAGGAAGTTGTTTAAAATTCAGACTATTTAAGAAAAAGCTGTTGAAGTACCTTGCAAGTTACTCAAACAATGGTGAGCACCCAAAAGCTTGTAACCAAAAGACCCAGTGACCAAACTATTACATGAGTTTAGAAAACAACTTATTAATATTTTAGTGTCCTGAGATTCTCTTTACCGCTCACCCCCTACCTAGCACTAGGCAGGGAACCAAGGAAGGCTTTTGGGGATAGTTTTGCCTTGAGAAGAATCCCAAGCATTGGAGTATCTCAGTTTCTTCCTCTTCCTCTGCCTGTTCAGGAGGCCGGGAGAATAAGATGCCGATTCTCATTTCCAAGATCTTCAAGGGCCTGGCAGCTGACCAGACTGAAGCCCTCTTTGTGGGGGATGCCATCCTGTCTGTGAATGGGGAGGACCTTTCCTCTGCCACCCACGATGAAGCCGTGCAGGTCCTGAAGAAGACTGGCAAAGAAGTGGTGCTAGAGGGTAAGTACTGGGAACGCCAGGATCTTCAGTTCTTCCTTATTCCTTCTCAGCCTCAGGCAAGAGGGGCAGGGAGGTAGGCAGGTCTGAAAGCAGAAGCAGAACTTAGGGCTCTCCCTTGAGACGCTGTGGGGTGGTGAGCAGGCACAAACAGACCTGGTCACCATTCTCTTGCCTCCTCATCAGCTCTAGTGGCCTGGGACAAGTCACTTCTCTTAGTTTCATCTGGAAAACAGGGAGGTGGCTTCTGCCTTGCTGGGGGACTGTGAGCAGGATAAAAGTCACACTCCAGGATTTGACTCAGGGAAAGAGAGGGGCAGACAGTGGGGAAGAGGCATCTAAGATTCTCTCCTGAGCTCTCAACTTAGTCTCAACTTAGGCCCTGCAGTTCTGAGACTCCTCCTTTTGCAGAGTACTTGGTCTTTATGCGGCAGGATATCAAATCCCTCCTGGAAGGATAAGAGAGGAATTTTGCTGGTGGAGAGGGGAACCTCGATGGGTTCTCTTTGCTCTCCTCTCCCTGTGTGGTCGGGGGCGAGACCTTTGCTGTCTCTGGGCCTCAGTTTCCCACTGGTTGTGACTGACTCTTGTGGTTGTCTCATGTTTGCCGTCTCTCTCAGGACGTTTCTGCTTTGCTCAGCCCTTTCTTCAAACTCCACTCTGTCAGTTCCGGAAGATGTGGGGGCCCAAGGAATGTGTCTTTGGCGCCTGGCCCAGAATAGGCACAGCGAGGTGGCGGGGGCTGATGGAGAATGCCAAGGCCACAGTACTGCTGAGCGGAGCCCCAGGCCAGCTCCTGATGTTCCCAGTTCTCTTGCCCAGCATAAGATTGGCAGATGCCTTTGTTTCCACAGTGGGGTCTCCCAGAGGCCACAGAAACAGCCAGGTTCTGGATCCCTGCATAACCCTTGGCATTTTTTTCTTTAAGTGAAACTATTGATTTACCACTGGCTGATAATACTAGGTAAGTTTTGGGAGTACAGCTTTCTACCTTGATGTGTGTGTATACTTCTCTCTGCCCACTGCCAGAATTCCAGTGCCATCCGCACAATCACACTGCCCATTTCTCCCACTCCCCACTTTGGCATTTCTGTAGCTCCAGCCTCACTTTTTTTCTGTTTTATTTTATTTTAATTTTTTTATAATATAATATAATAGTTTATTTTTACATCATTTTGTACATTTTTTTTTCATCTCAATTGTAATCCCCGTGGGTTTCCCATCACCAAGTCACCCATGTGTCATCACCATAGTCCAGTGTACTTCCTTCCCCCCACCGTTTTTTTTTTTTTTCTGCTTTTATTTTATTTGTACATTTCAGGAGTAGCTTTTTAAATGCCAGTGGTACATTTTAAAAATAGATCCTTAAGACAATTCTGCAGAATTGGTCCCTGAACTCTTCTGTGTATCAGTCATATTTTAACAGCAGAGTTAAATATGATCACATATAAATGATACAGATATGAAACTTGCTCTCCTCCATGCATTGCTTTGATATTCAGATCTAATAATACAGTTTGAAATAGTTGAAATTCATCAAAATGTCATATTTTAGTTTACTTAAAAGCTCTTTTAGTTCGTGCTGGTTGAAAGTTTAATCTGTAAATGGTTAAATTTCTACCAAAGACACATTTCTACTCTACACTGAGATATCCTCCCACCCCCATAATTTACTACTAGTATTTCCACTTCTGTTCCCTTGCATTTGTATAGTGTTGGCCCTATTTCCTCTTTAAATTTTTGGTAGCATTTCTCCATGGAAGTCACTCTTATAGAAAGGTTTTAAGTTCTGATTTTAGTGTCTTTAGTAGGGCAAAACCCTACTTCCTGAGAAGGCAAAGACCTGGGAGTGGTCCAGCCTAGAGCCAGCAGTCTTGAGAGCCTCTCTGGGCCTACATTCCCTCTGGAGTCCAGTCACTAGTCACATTGTTCAGAGCTCTATGCTCGCTTGGCATGCCTGAGGCTACTTCCAAAGAGCCACAGAAGAGGAGCCTGTCGTCAGGACAGGCCCCATTTGGCGGGGCAGCTGGGCATCTTTCCTGAAACCTTTGGCTCACTGGGTAAAGAGTCCCCTGAGAATGTCCTAGAAGGGCATATGTCACTGTCAAAGCTCTGGGTGCTAGCCAAATCCCTGCTTCCATGGCCTAAATCAGGGGCTCAGGCAGACGCCCCATTTGGCCTCCTGAATCTTTTCCTCTGCAAAACAGGGATTGACATAAGTGTTTTGAGTCTGTTCTCAGCCACAGGGATGTGTTTGTGACCAGCGTCTGGACCCAAACTGGCAGTAAACACGCCTCTGTCTACTCCGTAGAGAAGCCCATTGTGTGTGCAGACCTGCCAGCCAGGCCCCTGGAGACCAGCCTGGGAAAAAGGGAACAGCCAGATGTTTTCTCTCTCTCCATCCCCAGTGTGCCTGGCAGGACAAGGGCAGCAGTGAGCCTGAGATGTGTGAAACATGATAGTAAAGACCAGTAAAAATTAGTAAAATCAATTTTCGTACTTTGTACAAAGTACAAAGGGAAGGTACATCCCACATAAAGATCAGGCTTTTAAAAGGCAGAGTCATGGCGTGGCATGTTCATAAGTAGGCATGACAAAGAATAGTATCGAGCGACAGGTCATGATAATTCCTCTTTTTTTGTACAAAGTCACCAAATCTTGAACATTGTTGAGAATAAATAACTTTCTTCAAGTCATATAACTAATAAGTAAGCAGAGGCAGAATTCTAGCTATGGTCTGGTTGCAGGCCCACTGTTGCCTTAGTCTTGGACAACACCTCCCTTGCATGCTCGTTGCCAGGTTAAAAAGTAATGCATGTAACATGCGTTGCAATTTGTGTTAGTGTGCTGAGGCCACCGTCATAGTAGGTGCTTAATTATTTACTTCATTTGCTATTTATAAGGATAAGAGTTCATTTAAATTACATAGCAAATGTCTTCCACACGGTCAGCATTCAATAAATGTCAACTGCTATCATCATTACATCAGAAGCAGCATAATTATTGTTTTCACCAGTAAACTGGAAGGTCTTTGAGGGCAGGAACCATATGTGGTTTGTCTCTGCTTCCAGGCCTGGCGCCAGCCCAGCACACATTAGATCTTGGCGAGTGTTTAGGGAATGATCACCGTGGTGCATCTCTGACCTCTTCTGCTTTACCTTTGCCCTCATCAATTGCAGTTGACTTTCTCGAGTCTCGGCTCAAAGCTCGAACTGGGCTTGACTGACTCCTGAGATTTTCTATTATGAGTTTTCAGAACTCCAAGGCCAGGTTCCTGTTGATTTCTTCCTTAGGAGGTAGCTGCTGCCAGATGTCCTGCCTGAAATTGGCTCAGAGCACCACCACTCTCCAGAGGGGGACGTCATTAATGGCTGCAGCTAATCTGAGTCCATTCTATTCAGCTTAGCTGAGTGATGCATGCCTGCTGGGCCTGAGGGACTCCCCTCCTGGGGGCAGTCATGAATGGCTGCAAAGATTGTTCTCAAGGGGACACACACACACACACACACACACACACACACACACACACACACACACACACACACATACATATCCTCTTAGTCATGCAACTCCCCCCAGGCAAAATTTGGTTGTAGCCCTGGCTTATTCCCTGGACTGTCATTAAAATGCCTTGAGCTCTGGAGACAGATTCTGGCCTCAACTAGCTGTGTGAACCTGACTGCAGATAGTGGTGGGGGAAGTCGTAATGACAGTGGTAACACCAGTGATGGTAGTGTCTGCTGGCGATGGAGCACTTATGGTGTGCTAGGCACTGTGTTAAGTGCCTTCCATGTGTCATCTCATTGAATCCTCAAAATCACAGCTATGAATTAGGTGCATAACTCATCCTGTTGTGCAGGCATGAACACTGAAACCCAGAGAGGTCAAGCTGTTTGCCCACTGTCACATACTGGCAGAGATAAAATTGGAGCTCAGATCTGTCAGATGCCCAAACCCACATTCTTTTTTTTTTTTAATAAAGATTTATTTATTTATGCATACAGAACTGGAGTACAGGCCAGAGGTGCAGGGGTGGTGAGAGGCTTCACCAGAGACAGAGTGGGGAGCAGAACAACAGATTGATTACACAGCTGAGGGGAGCAGTGGGCGAGACTGTAGAGGTCTGCTGCACCATGTGGGTCACCTCCTGGCCAGGATAGAACTCATGCTAAAGCAAGTAGCTTCTGAAGTGTGCTTCAACCTATTGAGCCACCAGGGAGGGCCCAAAACTGCCACATTCTTAAATACTGATATTGCACAAAAGCCATGTCATCTGGGACTTGGTTTATTCAGTTTATTGAGATGTTGAAGGAAATGGATTCATCTCATTGAAGTACTATTAGGTGAAGTTGTGTTTGTGAGAACTGAGTTTGGTGCTTAATATGTAGTAGGTGCTCAATAAGGCCTCTTTTCCTACTACTAAGATCCTATGCCCCCTTAGTCTTGGCTTTCCTGAGTTCCTTATCTCTGAATCCTGGTGTTACAGAGAGGAATATGGTGGTATGTCTTTGAAAAACTAGCTAGATCTTTAAATAAATATAAAAAGCAACATATGCTTATAAAAAGAACCCAGGAGAGTATAAAGCTATTATCTTCTCATAGAATTAACCCCTACTGATATTTTCTCACACTTTCAGACAGTTTCCATATTTGTTTTTATCACTTAACAAGCTTGGGACAAGCTCTCCAACTCAGCACATGCAGCTCTGTCTCGTTCTTTTTAATGGTCCCATACTATCCCACTACTAGAATTCATGTACTTCTTTAACAATACTTTCAGAGCCCTTGAGCCCTGTGCGAGGAGTTGATGTAGGTATCAGGGAGATACAGCTGTGAACAAGCTGAGTGTTCTCTGTCAGGGAGTGCATGTCCTGGGTCAGGCAGCCCCAGTTCATGGACATTCAGCATGTTCTTAGCCTCTTGCACCATGGACAGTGGAAAGAAGGTCCCTGCTTACACCAGGGGCATTTATTTGAAGCAGGGCTCCTGGAAGGAGGATTGTT